ACAGCTAGAGCACGCTTCTCGGAGAAGGAAATAACTGAAACTGTGGGTATGCGAAGCATGCAGACTCAGATTCAGAGCTCCCAACAGTGCTGTCAGCTTCTAGACGGAAAAAGAGCACTCAGGCGAGTAAAAGTAATCCCTGTATTAACCATCATGCTTATTCTGAGACGTACATCATCCACTGGTGTGCCCTGGCCAAACTGTTGCTAAGGCTGCGCTGCAATCTCAGTGGACTGGACTCTCTCTGCACGTTTAACCACACGAGTTTTGTCTCCCCCCTCATCCGGCAGTTTATCAGCGTCACTCTGTTTGAAAAATAGCCTCCAAGTTACTTTTTATTCAATCCAGCCTCATTTCCCTCCTCAGGAAAAGAGAATTAAGCTATTACTTCTTGTGTGCATAGCTGCCCTATCATATTTTACACACGTTGTCAATATAAAGGCAACAGGACAGCAGGGTACACGAGCGATGGGGCAAGCGACGGAAGACTGGGAACTTAAAAGTGATGTCTGTCCTTCCACTGTACCCTTCTTCCACACAAAGCCTTTATCCTTTTCACCCCACTATGTTCTGCCTCTGCACCCACGGTGAACCACATCAGAAGCAAGTATTCACTTTTCAGATTGCCTTGAAGTTTGACAGTGATAGTTCCCCTTATAGGTCTCAGGTAACTCCTTAAAGAGGCGTGTGTCAAAGACAGTGTGTGCATACTGGCTGTTAATTTAACAGGTTGCAGAAAAGCTGTTGATTTTATTACCATATTACCGATCCAACAGGACTCCAATAAAGGTTTTATTTTGCAGCAAAAAGTGCCAGCCCAGCAGCTGGCAACATTCTCAAGCTATGTCAAGATGCCTCTGGTTTTGTTTGCTGTCTGGTATCTTGGGTATTCTCTTTCAAGGCATAAAGCCTACCAACTTGGGATGCTCTTCAATGAACTACTGCTGGTGTTTGGGTATCCATTTGATAATTTTGACAGAAAGTAACAACATGGGTGAGACGTGGAAGCAGAGAGAATGCTGCACTCTGCAAGGCTGGGCTCTGAGGTTATAGAAAGTATCTGTCCAAAGGCAGCCTTTTGGCCAGGACTATTTATGAGCTCAGACATATAACACTACTGTGATACTGGAAAAGAGTTTGTCTGGTTTAACTTCTTTACCAACCAGCATAGACCCAAATAACTTATACATGAATTACTGAGAAATCCGAGCACTCCCTTCTGAGAAAGTAGAGGAATCTGAAACCAGAAAGATTTCAAACACTGCCAGATTTGATGTAGCTGTTACGCAGGATCAGATCAATTGCCTTTTCAGGCCAGGATCCTATCAAGAAAGTGATCAGCACCACATTCATGCCACAACAGTGGAAATACTTTACCTGAAGCACAGTGAATGATCAAGCACAGATTGCTCTCTCCGAGCACTCTTCTTGCTCTCTCTTCTTCACTCAAGTCTTCATTCCCAAGTATTTCCAGAGGATGGAGTTAAATGTTGCCAGGTACAGCAGCAGCAAAACCATATGTAGACACAACCCCAAAAATAAGCATGGGAATTTTCTTCCTAACCTCTGTAGTAAGAGGTTGCTTTTACACCCCAAAGCACAGAGTTCTGCATGTCCCTACTTAAGGTAAATGTAAATATTTAATGTAAAATGGTATTATTATTTGTCCACACAGATATCTTACCACTTTAGAAAATGTACTGAGCTCCTGCTCTCAGCAGTACCTTGAAGCCATAGGGTCTATAAAATAAAAGGATTTCCACTCTTTTAATTTTAAATTGATTGGCTTCAAATGCATTGGCTGGGACTGTGTCTTTAGGCACACAAAAAGAAAAAGCCCATGATTTAATTTCTCTACACTGTTTGTTCATTTGTACAAGTGTCTCCAAATCATCTCCTCTTCAAATTTGACCAGTCTTTCTGTTTACCAAAAGACGTTCTTTGTCTGAAACAATTGTCATTGCCTTTCTAAAGACCTCATTTCCTTACTCTCATTCAGGATCTATCCTGAGACAAGGGTAAACAGCACGATGTACATACGGCCAAGCAATGACATCCTGATTTGCCACCGCTTAGTTCCAAGTTGGCTAAGCTGATTTTGAGGCTCCCCAGCAGTGTTTGTTTGTTTTAATAGGTACCTTTAATAGATTGTTAAAGGGAGTCAATGCAGTTCTTGGATATCTCATGGGTGGGCTGGCCCATACACACCAGTCAAGCGTTACACAGAACACGAAGTCTGTGTCATGGCCTAACGCATCTAATGTACCAGCAACAGGAACAGAACATGAAACTGTCAAGTGCCCTAGTAACTATAATACATTACATCCCACAAAAAAGTCATCAGAAACTAAACTCCTGGTGAGGAATCTGTAACACCACTTTTCACAGCATTTAATTAAAAGAATAAAAAAGAGCAAACAAGTGAGAGCGAGCTGTGAAGTCTGAGATGTGCCTTGCTGCCTACTCAGTCACACACAGAGGATCTGAAAATCACCGGAACGTCCTTCAAGTTGATGAGCTCATCTGTTGCATCGATAGAGATCGCCAATAAATACTGATACGCTTTCATTGGAATTCAGTGCTCATTTATAGATGCACTCATTTATATTTGCAGCATGGCACTGTGATTAACCCTTTCATTGAAGCTGTAATTCCAATTAATGTGAATTGGCTGGACACATACAGCATGTAGATAATAAGCTCTACTACAGTCACAGCATACTTTGGTCAGGAAAACCAAGCACATCTCTCATCTTCATTTAGCTTTGAAGGGGTTACATTACAGTAGCTCCTATTGCATCCCTGCTATTGAAGCCTCACTGAAAATTAAATGCCACCAACAGTGCTACTGAAATATGCTCTAAAGTTTACAGGCAAACTACAGAAGCTTGTAAAGTGCCAGGGGACTTCTCTGGTTTAATTATATAGACCCTGTTCCGTAAATTGCTTGAATGGAACAAATACAAATAGCATTCCCCGCTTTGTGACCTTTTTGGGTTAATGAAACGCACACAAACACCCACAGTCTGCTATGGCTCAGAAATTCCACAGCATAAACACACAAGCTCACTGGAAGCCGTCGTCAGGATTCAAGCCTTGGTACATACATGACAACCAGCTGCCTGGACTAAGCAAGGAAATAATTTATTGTTTATATTCTACTGCTATTCTAAGTTGCAGACGGTGGGAACTGCCTGTGATTTACTGAACATGGAGAAAGAGTCTGAGATTTTGCTGTTTAGGCTCTACCTGAAGAGGGTGTGTGAGGTAAGAGAGGCTGAGGAATTCCATGAATTAATAAGCAACCCACCCTTGGCTTTGGGAAACACGAGATCTGCTCTACCTGGCGACACTCACCTCCATCCTCCAGACATACTTGGGAATAAAGGCTTGAGTGAAGAAGAGAAAGCGAGAAGAGGGTTTAGGTAGAGGAATCTGTACTTAATTATTCACTCTCCTGCATGTAAATTATTCCTATTGCCATGACACGAAGGAGAATTTGATCCTTTGGAGACAAACTACTGAGATGCCAGCCAGTTCTTGTTCATGTGGCCAGTACACAATTTTCTCATGTTTTCTTAACTTTCTCCAGGTGTGCCATCTCTCCTGCGACGCAGAAAGACCTGCTAGTTGTACTGTCTGGCCATGGCATCCAACAGACATCTCTAGGAGTCTGCTGAAGTTTCATTCACTAAACAGGTCTGAGCACAGGCCTCTGGAGGTATCCAAGCTAACAACATTCCACCATCTCAACAGAGAACTGTTTTCAGGATTCAAGGACAGTACCTTAAAACCAACAGAGTTATTCTCCTCCCTGGACACTGAGCTTTCTTTTCTTGCTGCCATTTGTCTCAGTTAGTCCAGAAACCTCATAAGGCCAAGTAATACAACTGTTTTGGCAGTATTTTCCTACTTTTACTAAAGATCCTAGGGCTGTCTTACACTTATCCTCACTTGTTTAATTTGTTGGGTTTATTTTTTTTTTTTTAATTTTTTTTTTTTCCCCCTAAGGCTCTAAAGTTGCAGAACAGGAAAATGTTTGTCCTGTTATGTAAAGAAACAATACTGCAGCAATCCACATGCGGCACACAGCCATAGGTCTGCAGAAACAGAACTTCTCCAGTTCCTGCTTGTAGAGTTCCCTCCTGTATTGAAGGCCTCCAAAACCCCCATCCTTCTAATAAATGAGACTCACCCCAGGGGGATCAGTGGGAGGCAGGTATGATTTTAAGTGCCAGTTGTGTTTGCCACCGAGAAGGAGAAAGTTCTCCCACTGACCTGCAAACTTGGGCTGTTGACACCTGAACCAATGTAAAGATGGAACTTAACAGCTTGGTGACTTTAATGTCACACCTCAGTTCTCTAATGCATCAGCCCAACTGTGCTAGCTGGAAGGTAACGCAGAAGAAAAACAGCACCTATCAAGCTACAACCCAACCTCAGACCACCTAGCTAGACCAATAAAGGTATCAGACTGAGAGAAGACAGACTGTTATTGCTACTCATCTCTGCTGTTCACATAAATGGCACTTCACACACACAAGGATGAGTTGCTGCTCAAAAGGGATTCCAATTTACATAAAGACAAGATGATGACACGCAGACAAGCTAGAGGATAGCAAAGATAGTAAGGGCATATATCTTGTAGTGAAGGAAGGATGAAACCTTGATGGTTACGTAAGGTTTTATTGCCACGGCATATATAACTGATAATATAAAAAGGTGAAGTGCAAGGCCAGATACCTTAGGTATTATGCATATATAGTCTCTTCTCTTTACTCCTGACTTTGATATATAAGTGGGAGACCAGATGTCAAATTTTCTCGGGTAATTTTTTGAAAGAAGAAAGGATCTTTACCTCCCTCATAAGGAACACCCTGTCACATAGCAGGAGGGCAGTGATTTTCCAGTCTAATCACTGAGAAAGAGCAAATACATTCTGGCACACTGAAAACCATGAACCCAAAGAAGCAGGTGCAGCAAAGGGTGCACAGACCTACCTTAAAAAGCAGGCAGTCCCCTTGGTGCTCGGCGTAAATGGAGGTGAGTCGATACTGGTTCTCAGTCGTGATGTCGATCTGGTACCCCGTTAGTGTGTAGCAAACCTTGCGGAACTCCTGGATCTTGGTCTGGAAAACTTCTTTCAGACGCTGGTTTTTTAGTTCTGCACTTTCCACTTGCTTCTTCAGCTCTATGCAGGGGAAGAAAATGGGTACTTTGTTATGTGTCATCAGCACAGAGCCCTTGTGCCGTATTTACAGTGCTAGCCAAACTAACTGAATTGAAAAGGTTAATTAAATTTTTAAAAAGTGAATTAAGCCGGCAGAGTAAAGAAACAGGCAAGCTAGATTCCTATCCTCCTGGCCCCGGCAGACCAAAAGACAATAAACTGGGGAATAAGGAAAACAGACATATCTTGGTGGGATGGATTTTCCTTTTGCTCAGCCAGACTTTTAACAACGTACTACAAAATTCAAAGCTATAGCATCCATTTCCCCACATGCACGCATCTTATTTTCTATACAGAACCCAAAAGAAGGGTGTTACACTACACGAAGCAAGAAAGTGGAAAAATGGTAAGAAATACACATCTGTATGGTTGCATCAGGAGGAAGCTGCCTCTACGGGAAATCTCCAACATACTCTTGATTTGACTGTAAGTGCTTTGATCTCAAATTGACACACTGCTTAGGAATCCCTCAAGATTTGGGGAGGGGCTTTTATTGTGATAAAAAACCCAAAGAGTACCACTGCCTCTTTGCGTTTGCTACCTTAACTGGACTAGTCCCTAGAAGAGAGGTCCTGTGAGACTGCCTGCCACTCACCCTCTGTTTTATTGCTACAAAGGGAGCTGCCAGTACTGTGAATCCTTCAAGAGGATACACAACAATTACCATGAATCTTTCACCCAAGGTGCCTTCTGAGTAATTAAACCTCGATTTATCCCCCCATTAATTACAGAGATTGGCTTTACTTTAATATACACTAGAGATGTCTCCCAAGTCAGCCTGTTTTATCAACACTGCAGCCCAGGGTTAGAAAAAAACCCTGACTCTTTCTAACAGCAAACAAATAGACTTCCTCACTCGGATACCTCTTTGTCATACTGAGGTTTAAGGCTTTGTCTGTGCTGTGATCAGAGATGTAACTGCAGCACATGTAGACCATATGTCTTTATTTTAGCTAGTCCAGGATCCAGCAGTAGGACAGCAGAAACTTCAGTCTGAGGTGACTGCGTAAGTATGAAGGAAGGTTTTTGGCTGGGCTTGTACAGCCCATGCTAAAGCTTTATTGTTTCCCAAGCAAGCTGGAAAAGTTTTTGCTTGAGTATTTGCCAAAAAGTGTTTCCACCAGCCTCCCAAGCGTCGTGCAGGCAGAACGTAGGATGGTAACTGCAAGGCCATGGACTTGCCTGTGATTCACCTCTGAGCAGCTGGAAGTGCACCAGGAGAACGTGAGTCTCCTCTTACCTTCTGTACTGCTTTAGTTAGGTGCTCCAGGTGGGACAAAAGGATAATACAATGTGTTAAGTTAAAGTGCCTTAAATGCCACTGAGGATGCACTTGCTCAGAAGTACCTTGGCCTTGATCCAATTCAGCTTAATCCCCAGGCAAGGACAGGAACTCTTTAATCGTTAAAGAGAACTACATGTCCCTTTACTTCTGTGCATTGGGTTTGCATGGTGGCGTTTTGGTAGCACGGATGGGGGCTACAGGGCCGGCTCCTGTGAGAAGCTGCTCGAAGCTTCCCCGGCTCCAAGCTGGACCCGCCGCTGGCCCAGGCCGAGCCCGTCCGTGAGGGTGGTAGCGCCTCTGGGAGCACAGATTTCTGAAGGGGAACCTGCCGTGAGTAGGGGACTGGAATGTGAGAGGAACCCCTCTGTGGATACCGAGGTCAGTGAAGAAGGAAGAGAGGAGGTGTGCCAGAGGAGGGGATGCCCCCGCAGCCCATGGTCAGACAGCAGGCTGTCCCCCCCAGCCCATGGAGGGGAGCGGGGGAGCAGATGCCCGCCTGCAGCCCGGGGAGAGAGGAGCCCACGCCGGAGCAGGGGGATGGATGCCCTCCAAGATGGCCGGGACTCCACGGAACAGCCTGTGCTGGAGCAGGCTGTGCCTGAAGGACTGCAGCCCGTGGAAGGGACCCACGCTGGAGCAGTTTGTGAAGAACTGTAGCCCGTGGGAAGGAACCACGTTGGAGAAGTTTGTGAAGGACTGTCTCCCGTGGGAGGGACCCCACACCATTGCAGGAGAAGAGTGAGGAGTCCTGCTCCTGAGGAGGAAGAAGCGGCAGAGACAACGTGTGATGAACTGACCCCAACCCTCATTCTCCGTCCCCCTGCACTGCTGGAAGGGAGGAGGGAGAGAATTTGGAAATAAAGTTAAGCCTGGGAAGAAGGGAGGGGTGGGGGGAAGGTGTTTTTAAGATTTGGGTTTACTTCTCATTATCCTACTCTGATTTGATTGGTAGCAAATTAAATTGATTTGGTTTTTTTTTTCCCCCCGAAGTTGAGTCTGTTTTGCCTGTGACCATAACTGGTGAGTGATCCCTCCCGGTCCTTGTCTCGACCCACAAGCCTTTCATTATATTTTCTCCTCCCCATCCCAAGGGGAAGGAGGAGTGAGCGAGCGGCCGTGTGGTGCTTTGTTGCCAGCTGGGCTTAAACCATGACTTTCCAACTGAGAGCATCCACACAGGGAGAGTTAACGCTGGCCAACTCCTTACCTTCAGTTAATTCAGCTCCACCTTCCTGAGCGGCTTGTGGCGATGATGTACAAGCAAAGTATTTCCTTTACTCCAGATCTCCCCCCAGCTGTATCTTGCTTTATCAAGGGGAGCAAGCCAGTCTTGGGGAACATCACCAGTTTGTTCATTAAAACACTGCTATAGAGGGAACGCCCCAGTTTCTGGGGGATGTAAGGTAAGTAGAGTATCCACACCCTGCTTACAAGCCCAAAGGGTTGTGGCTTACCCACTGCCCCTTCTCACGAGGTTGAAAAGGCTGTGCCTTTCCTGACCAGCCACCTTCCCATTCATACCAAACTCATCACCGCGTGATTAACTGAACCCTTCCTTGGATCGTTACAACTTTTTCCCCATCATCTCAGCTGGGTCTGGTCTTTGATTAATCAAGTAATCAGCCTCTGAAATCAGGAGGTTAATTGGCAGCTCTGACCTCAATATTCTCACAGTCTTCATTCAGCTATGCAACCGTTAAGTACAAAATCCTATATATGAAAGTAAAAACTCAGTGACCACGTTGCAGTGGTAAATAACATTTTGCCACTGCCAGAGACAGCACTGCCTTTAATATATCGCACATGTCCAACAGCGATATTTTTTTTCCTAATAAATGCAGCCTAGCCTTGGAAAAGTAAATCTGCCTTTTCCTACCGCATCTCGGAGGCTGCCTTTCCTGACTTTTATAACTTTGGAGGTGGATGGCACCCTAATTCATGAACTCCTTGAACAGCTTTTGTTATTCATGAGGAGTTAGCGCCTTTTGCACTGTTTTGTCTCTCAGACTTGGTACTGCTAATGGCCATCATGAGCATCCTCGCACCCATTGGGTTGCAGACTTATCCCCCACCCAAGAGCACTGGCCTAGTTACACTACAACCGTATGAATCTAGAACAGCAACTAAGTGATGGCAACTGCTTTCCTCCACTACCCTCAGGGTGAAAAAGGAAAAACTCTGACTACAATCAGTCTTTTATGCAAGAAATCCTGAGTTTTTCAGTTTAACTGAAGGACTAGCAAGCCTTCACTCCTGACAGTGTGCCCTCACCTCCTCCCCGCCGTTCCTCCTGGCCCTCTTTCCAGTGCCTGCGGCAGTTTTGGTGTATTACCGCGTCAGCCCTCCTGGCTGAAGGAATTCATCTGCACGAAAAAAAAACTTATCTCCTTGTTAGAGATGCCTTGTGTCAGCCACTGGCACAAGGCGCTGAACTCGGTAACTGCTAATGTAGATGCAGCCGAATGTGCCAGCACCAGCCAGGGACGGGATAAAGCCTTGTCATCCCCTCCATGGCTCCATTAGCAATTCCCCAACAGTGTTTCTTGAGCTTGGGGATGGGGCAGAAAAAAACAAGCAGGCACAGGGACATGATAGGAATGCTTAAATTTGCAACTGCCCCCAGTGAAAGGGCTATCGAACCCTGACTGTAAAACAGAGATTGCTCTTCCTTTACGCCCAATTAAATTGCAGTCCTCAATAGGTCAGCTATAGCAACTGCCGATGCCCGCCTCCTGCAGTATTTATTCCGTGGAAACAATTCAGCTAGGGGCTATTCCCAGATTAGCTCAGGACAGCATTCAGGACTGTGACTGCTCCCCGGCTTTCCGTTGAAGGCTCTGCCGACACAACCAAGAAGCCACATTGTGAGGAGGATTCACAGAAGAGTAACTTGATAGGAAAGTAACCTGAGACTTGAGAAACATAGGATTGGGAGCCCACTGCTGAAACAAAGCCATCTGAGACGCACTAGGATATTTTTCACAACTTCCCACCACACTTCCACAGGAAAGAGATTTCCTGCAGGTTCTGTGTCATACCAGCCAGCCCCAGGCCAACATCTCAGATACTTTGGGGTGTCTAAAATGGCGCAGGATGCCTATTTTTAGGCACTGGGTACCTACGTAGCCTCTCTACATCATGGCTCTGCCTGCATACGGCCCTGGCACTGCAGATTCTCTGCACCCGGAGAACAGCACAAGCAGCATATGCACTGACTTGGGGACAGTAATTAATCTTTCTAATATTTCCCCCACCAAGTGAAGATGTTAAGCTAACAGGCATTGTTTGCTCTGTGTCTGAATTCAAAGATGTGACGGCGCTAATTCTTAAGCCTCACCTAATACCACTAATTCCCACCAAACTTCTAGCACAGTCAGGAGAAACCGATTTAAAAGTCATCATCTGCACAGAGTGCAATTCAGCGTATTTCAGAGCAATGTTTAAGGCACAGCCGTAGAGGCCACCGAACAGAGGGAAATCCTTTCAGGATGGGTCGAGGTGCATTAACAGAGCAGGTTTCTGATGACAACACTACTGTTTCTATCCGTTTTATCTGCCACCTACAGAACATCGAACGTCTTGATCCTTTAAGATCTTTCACAACATTTGGAGAATTAGGTTTAATTATAATTTTAAAAGACAGTGTTTGAAAACTAGAATCCTTGTATTTAGTGTA